TGAGCATTGCATTGATTATTGCTACCTGATAAGTCAAAGCTTTGAGTGAAAGCAACTTCAGTGCTTTGTTGGTGATTTGATCCTCTCCAGGTGCTTTACGCACCTTTAGGTCCTTAATGAGTCCTTGGAGCGCTGGTGTGCAAAATGGAATCTCAGAGGACTCCGTTGATGTGCTTTGCTGAGATTCATCTGAAGAGTCTTCCGTCTTCTGAAAAGGTGTCACCTTCTGAAAAGGTGTCACCGATGTTAGCACCAAGCACCAGAACTTACAATTTGTCATTCCTCGTCAAGGTCATTGTCCAGATCATAATTGGGAGAGAACTGTCTTTCCATGACGTGAGCAAAAACCTCCACTTTATCCTCAGTCCTGAAAGCTATGCCTCCAGGACCATGAACATGTGGTAGTTGTTCTTGCCTTCCGTTTCTGCGCGATTTTGGCACTTTCCAGAGAGGAATACTAGATTCAAGCATCGCCGCCAGAAAGTCGCTCGACTACTCATTGCGGAATTCATGGAGTGCGTTTCTCACTTCATGGACGAGATTTGTCGCTCTACGAATGTCATCACCTTTTTGCTTGCTTAATCGCAGCCCTCTTTTCAGAAATTTTCCGACGAATGTTAACAGGGAGATTGCAATTCATATGGGAGCTTCTGCTGGCATTAGCTATTTTCGAGTTCTAAATTCAGTACTGTCACAGAACGGTTCTGGAACTGCGCAAGACTAAATGCATAAAGGAGAAGATCTCTCAAGCAGTTATGAACAGTCCGTGAACTATCAGAATTTTGTCAAAACCCGAACAGCCTGAAGCCAGGACTACGGAACAAAAAAGATAACTGTGCGAAGAGAACTTTTGTCACTATAACCACATTTTTTTCCTATAAAGTTTTCACGAAGGTTCTGTACGCTGGGTGTAACTGCTTCAAGGTCATCATGTCAGACGACGATGATGATGTCGAATCAGAATTCAAAATTATCTGCATTGGATCCGTTTGTCCACCTTCCTTTTAATTTTAAATAAAAAATACTCCCCAAATCGCAAAAAAGTAAACAGCATTTGAAGCAAAACACGTCAAATAATTGCAATGATATTGACAGAAGGAATACGCACGTGAAAATCAGTTCAAAAATGGTCCCGGCAGTAAAGCAAGAACTGCTTGAACGATTCTCGAACCATCCTAGAACTGAGCCAGAATATAACCAATTTTCAGTTCTAAAACGGTCCGATAATAATCCAGCAGAAATCCGAAAAGGTCGGTTTCTTCTGCGCATCCTCCTGATAGTTCTAGTAGTAACGATAAAAACCCGAAGAAACCTATTTAGTTACTCGGACCTGAACTCCGTAGGCTAACAATATTTGGTATGGCTAAGTAGAGGAACTATTTAAATTAGCTTTCTGCCATGGTTTTACCTGCGGTAAGTGTAGGTGGCGCCATTAATAAAATAACAAAATTCCACAAGCATGCAAGTTAGCTATCAATTTACTGATGTCAAATGTACGAGGAAAAAACATGATCGGAAGCTCATAGACTTAATAAAAATAATGTTTTGTGCTAGTAATACTATGAAGCGTTCAAAATCGTGGGTAACAGCTGGTCAAAAATATACTAAGTGACATATAAATCCGAACACCCAGTTTAAATGGTTTTATTTTAATAAAAGTTGGTGAATGTATTTATCTTACTGTAAATAACAAGTGAAAAAATGTTCAGCCTTATCAGTTGGACATTCCGGTTTTTATACTGCTTTTTTTTTGGTTCTTGACATCCTTTACGATCGGTTACGATGCCTAGAGTACGGAGACCTGTACGATTTCGTCAACTTAGTGAGTTTGATAGGGGCCGTATAGTGGGTCTTCGGGAAGCTGGACTTTCTTTTCGGGCAATTGCAGTTAGAGTGCAAAGAAGTGTAGACACTGTGGTTGGGTGTTGTCAGGCATGGCTTCGAGAAGGCCGTACGCAAAGAGCAAGGTACACTGGACGCCGCCGTAGAACAACAGACCGTGAAGATCGCCGCCTAAGATTATAGGCCTTAAGGGACCGTTTCTCCACTACCAGGTCCATTGCAAATGAATGGTTTGCAGAACACGGAAGACCTATTGGCATGCGAAGTGTTTACCGATGAATGAGAAGTTTTGGCTTGTTTTCATACCGGCCACACTGGGTCCTCCCTTTAACTCGAGAACACCGACATAATCGCCTTGAGTGGTGCAGACAACGGTCACTCTGGGATCAGGAATGGAACAGTATTGTCTTTAGTGACGAGTCTCGATTTTGTTTAGGCATGCACGATGGTCGTGCCAGGGTTAAAAGGCGACGTGGTGAAAGGAGGAATCCACAGTTTTTTGTTGTAAGACATGTTCATCACACTGTTGGAGTTATGGTTTGGGGTGCTATAGCTTATGGTTCCAGGTCACCTGTAATCTTCATCAGAGGTAACATGAACGCGCAGCGTTATATCCACGAAGTTCTAGAACCCCATCTTTTACCCTATCTTGACACCCTGGCAGATCCAACTTTCCAACAAGATAATGCCCGACCACATGTTGCAAGAGTCACAATAGACTTCTTTTAACATAATGATGTCACATTGTTACCATGGCCACCAAGATCTCCCGACTTATCCCCAATTAAGCACGTGTGGGATATGATGGGTAGGAGATTGCTCAATTTGCAACGTCCTCCTCAGACTCTAGAAGCACTTCGAGAGGAGTTGGTGGTTGCCTGGAATGAGATACCACAGAAGGACATTGACCACCTGATCAGAAGCATGCCTAGGCGCGTTGGAAAATGCGTAGCACATCAGGGTGCATCCACACATTATTAAAGGTCAAAGGGCTTTAAAGCAGTGCAATCATTTTGAAATTTTTATCATTTACTTATTATGCTTCATTAAGTACTTATACAAAATTCTATTAAAATAAAACCATTTAAACTGGGTGTTCGGATTTATATGTCACTTAGTATAAAACCTCTGTATCGCTTGACGGTTACAGGTTGAGTGGGGCGATAGCCGGCTGAGCTGCTGCCGGACTAATGCTGATAGTGGGGAATTTGGTATTACGTCTCTTCAGAAGTAATAGACTGGCGACCACGTTCACATACAGAGAAATCCAAATATCACTGAGGAGGTAATATGTACGAGAGAGAAGTGGCGAGAAGTGGGCAACACGTATGCTAGAAAGAGAAGCTATGATTCTGTATGCTTTTAACATACGAATACACGCTCCTTGCGCTTCGCTATCGTATTCATTACGACATGAGTCGTATATGGATTTCTGTGTATAGAGAAGGAGATGCCAAACCACAGGTAGCATACTGCTGACCGGACCACACATTATTAGAGTTTGCTAGATAATAGATAAATGCCCGTGGGATAGGTATACGAGGGTGACCCCAGAAATACCCGACCCAACGCAGAAAACAAAACTTTTGTAAAAAAATTATTTATATTTCAACATAATCTCCTTTGAGCTCCATACACTTTTCCCAGCGATGTTCAATAAGTTCGATACCCTTTTTACAATAAGAACTGTCTTGCTCCTCAAAATAGCCATTAACTGCCGACATCACTTCTTCGTCGTTGGAAAATCTTTGAACACTGAGCCATTTTTTCAAGTTTGGAAACAGAAAATAATCCGAGTGGGCTAAATCTGGTGAATAGGGTGCATGAGGTAGCAATTCAAACTTTAATTCGTTAATGTTGGCCATTGCAATAACGGATTTGTGAGCTGGTGCATTGTCTTGCTGAAACAACACTTTCTTATTAAAACACGTTCAGTGCGAACAGCGTCAAAAGACGCCCTCCGTTCCTGTGGTGGGAGGCGAACGGCGTCTTTCGACGCTCTCTGCCGGCTTCCAAAAAAAGGAAAAAAGTATTTCAGTTTCTGAGGTGGGTATCCTCATCCCAGTTCGCAGTCAATGTGTTAACCAAATGTGGCCGTTTTTGCCTGATTTAATCGCTCAAACGTTGCAATAAGTTCGCATAATACTCGCCGTTGATAGTTTTACCTTTTTCAAGATAGTCAATTAAAATTATTCCACGCGCATCCCAAAAAACCGACGCCATAACCTTGCCTGCAGGTGAAACGGTCTTCGCCTTCTTTGGAGTCGGTTGTCCCTTTTGAGTCCATTGCTTTGATTGTTCTTTTATCTCTTGTGTGAAGTGATGGACCCATACTTCATCCAAGGTTATCAAACTACGCAAAAATTCTGATTTGTTGCTGTGAAATTTCGCTAAACACTCAACTGAAACATCTTCACGACACTGTTTTTGCTCGATTGATAGCAATCGCGGCACCCATCTAGCTTTCTCATGTCCAAATTTTCAGATAATATGCGGTGAACCGCACTTTTTAAAATGCCTACTGTGTCTGCTAGCTCGCGCACTTTCAGTCGACGATCATTCAGTACCGAATTTTCTTCACGATTTCTGGAGTCGTCCGACACCTCATTTGGTCGACCACCGCGATGTTCGCCTTAGCAGCTCATACGGCCTCGTTTAAACTCTGTTACCCAATATTTTAAAACGAAGGAGCAGACTGACCCAGAGTGGAATCCAGTTTAGCTCTTATATTGGCTGGGCTGAGGCCTTTGAAATAAAAGTATTGTACCACATAACGATGACCAATTTTCTCCATTTTCACAAGTTTACTGAAAACGTTCAGTATTGATGGCTGCCAAACGAATACTAAACAATGTGGCGTCTTCAAACTTGACACATATACTTGACATTTTTCAAACAACTATCGCCACCTCTAGGTCAGGCCGGGTACTTCTTGGACCACCCTAGCATCAAAGTTATTGCCCCGGATAAAATGTAACCTTTGTACTATTACAGACTATGTTATAATCTACCTGTGCCCCAAATGCCATCCAGATCCGTTCAGCCATTTTGGCGCAATCGAGTAACAAACATCCACACTCCCTCATTTATAACCTCAAGTAAGAATAACGTTCTAACCTGCATACTCTGCCAGCCTCAGTATTAGCTTCAGAACACACCAATCCAGATTCACAATCACTATCTCGTCGACATATCTCGCCCACCCTTCGGCCATATGCAAAGAGACATGAGCCAACCACTGGAACAAGAAAAATGTCAATGTAAAATCTCTATGCAACAGTTTTTTATTCCTTAATTAGTGCTGGGAATAACGTCTGACAGCCTCTATGATATTCAATACGCGATATTTAATGGCACCACATGGTAACCACCATTTCAAAATACCATATCTTCTTTATACTCATATTACGGTTTCTTAGTAAATAATAATAAAGCGGCTGTGGCACAACTAGCTTGCTGATTTTGGGGGGGCTTGAGCCCCGGGTCTCTATAAGTCGATTTGGTGACAGTATATGATGTTCTCCCAAACTTACTACAGTACGTCTTTCACAAATTCCTGAATTTGACGGAAATCCTCTGCTACAAACTTTGTTCTTGGATATAGCCTACGTTCTTAGTTGATTAAAAAAAACAAAGTTATAAAAGGCATTTCAATATACCTACATGCATACACAATATGTAAGTAAAAAATATATCGAGTTTAAAACTTAAACAACTTAAATCGGTACTAAAAACAACTTAAAAACTGGAACAAATTCTTTTAAATTAAATTTCTCCTAAGTGCACAGACAGCCGGACGTACCAGCAGACAAAATAGTTAAAGACATAGAATCTAATACACTAAATTGATTTTTCGGTTTTTCGATGCATATTAATTTATCAATCACGTCCTCCCAATTTATTTCTATGTCCTTTTCGATAAATAACAATCCAAGTGCAGAAAATCTTCCTTGGCCCATAGAATGTCGTAGCCAATTCAAAATGATCCGCATATTAGAGAATGACCTCTCGCACGTGGCAGTAACGTTTTTCCCACTTGAAACAAAGTATATACTGATTGAAAAATTTCTGGTTTCAGTTCATTTCGAACAGTTTCATAAGATGCATCCTTTCGTCCATTAGCTATGAAGTCGTCTATGTAGTAGCAATAATGACATGGCACTAATAGAAGGTACTATTTTGTGACTATCGGGTTTGGGATGGCTAATTTGTGGCATTACCATCATGTCTGTGACCATCGGACCTGGGGGTCAATCTGCGGTAGTGAGTATTGAAAATCCCATTTTATAAATAAGGTAAATATTAGAACTTCCGTTGCCATTTGAGGGATGTCAATCATGATAATCATTGTCACCACATCGCCTCAGTAAAGTAACAATGCAATCCAGTTACCTCTTTTTTTTTAAACAAATCTTCATTCAACAGTCAATTTTTACAAATTTTATAGGAAACAAGGTTCTCTAATCTGTGTTTAATACACTGGCCTCGAGAACAACAATACTTAAAGTGCGAATTTCAGCTAGAATAAATTCAACAATTTTGAGTGTCTTTACATAATTTCTGAATACATGTACTTTTTTACATTATTTGGTAGGTTGTTATAAGTTTTTACTGCATCAGTGACAGGGTTATTTAATCCAATATTGGTTCTAGTATCAATTTGGTACAAATTATTATGTGATCTTGTCTCATGGTCATGCAACTCATGTGTAATCAAAAGGTTTGTATTACACTTTTTTTGGCTATTTAAAATTTTTAAGATCATTTTAGATTGTTCTAATTCCAAAAGCTAATCTAGTTTACATCCAGTTCTGAGTACATATTGTCCGTGTTGGCAGGTCGATCATAGCTGAACAAAATTCTTAATATTCTATTTTGAAAAACTTGTGCTTTATGAAATTTAGTTTTACCACACATTCCCCAAATAGCTAACATATATCTAAAGTGTGCTAAGAAAAATGCATTATAAATACATATTTTGCTTTTCATAGTTAAGTAGTCTCTGCTATGGTACAAAGCAGCTAAATCGATGTTGTTTTATCCAAAAAATGTTTAATGTAACTAGACCAATTCCAAACCCAGGTATTTGATGCTCCATACTTTTTCTATTATAACTTTAGATATTTATTCTTATACAAAAGTTTCTGATTATTTTATTCTTCTGTTTAAAAATTAACTATTTTGTTTTATCAATGTTGACCTCTAGTTTATTTCCATACAGCCATTTACAGTAAAGAGCAAGATCTAAATTAACTTCGTCACGCGGAGCCTGCTCATGATTTCCTTTATAGAGGAGAACTGTGTCGTCAGCAAAAGTAAAATACCTTGCATTAAGATTCGCACTCTTTAGATTTAGAACATATAGGGGATATAATAGTGGACCCAAGACAGACGCCTGGGGGACACCATAGACACTAGATAACCACTCACTATTTGTTTCACCCATTTTCACATATTGTTTGCTTTTAAGTAAATAAGTTTTAATCAAATTATACACACTACCCCTAAATCCCATATTTTGCAACTTATTAAATAATATATTGATATCTACCACATCAAATGCCTTTATTAAGTCTATAAACAATGCTATAACCACTAGTTTTTCATCCAGAGCCCTTGAGATGTAATTTACAAAGTCAACTGCAACTGCAAGCGTGCTACTATTTTTTATGAACCCATACTGGTAACTACTGTCTGCTAATGTATTTTCCTCTGTAAACAACATCATTCTTTTCTTGATAATTTTTTTAACAATTCTAGATAAAATACTGATCACAGATATTGGCCTATAATTATTCATAGAGTGTTTATCACCTGATTTATGAAGTGGAGTAATTTTACTTATTTTAAGGTCATCTGGAAATTTTCCAGTTATAAGTATATTGTTAATTAATTTTACTAATATACCTACAATACAAGGTCTGAAGTTGAGCAGGTGTTGAACTTATTTTTAATTCCAGTATGGTTTAACTCACCTCTTGTTGATCAGTGACGGCTATCAAAACTGTTTTATGCATATACTAATAATAATAATAAGAACTTGATTATGCTAAACCATGAAGATTCTCAGCATTTTTCCAAACGCTTGACAACTCTTCATTCCACACTTGCCTTATTTAAGCACCAGCATAAAAGGCATAGTTGCACTCTAAAATCGCAGCCGCTCAGCGGGTCACACAGGATCCTCAATAAATATACAGGGTATCCGCAAAGTTGGGGTTTTCCTTTGCACGACGTGTAGATCTTGAAAACATAAGCAATTTTTCTTAGTACCATATACACCAATATCTTAAGGGAACCGAGATAAAGGGCTCTGCAACATCAAAAATATCTGAATACCGTCCTGTAGCCGCGACCCGCGACATCACCGAGTGGTACAAGGTCAACCCGACGACAGAACTGGGTCGGGGTCAGTGTGTCAGGTCAGTATGCAACCTTCAATCGACGGTTACGGTCACGCGTGTAGAGGTAAACGAACCCGTATAATCGATTGCGTTTAAAAAAAAAAATAATAATGGCACACTCATACACCAATAATGAACTCGTTGATATGTTGTTAATTTATGGCGAATGTCTTCAAAATGCTACAGAGGCTTCGCGAGTGTATGTAGATCGTTTCCCTAGACGACATCATCCAAGGCCCCGCAGATTTGTGTACCTAGTCCAGAGAGTCAGGGATACGGGCTAGTTGGAGGAATTTCGAGGTGGGCACAGTGGGAGACCTAGACAACCACGAATGGTGCAAGTTGAGGAAGAACTACTGAATTGCGTAGACGAGAATCCCTCAACAAGCACTAGAGACGTGGCTAGAGAAGTGCAAGTATCAAAAACTAAAGTGTGGCAAACGCTGCGTGAAGAGGGGCTGTATCCGTTTCACGTCCAACGTGTACAAGCCCTTCAACCTGACGATTTTCCAGCAAGATTGCGGTTTTGTGAGTGGTTGTTGCATCAACATGACAATAATCCGGACTTTTTGAAGTGCATATTGGTGACAGACGAATCTACGTTCACGCGTAATGGAGTGAATAACTTTCGCAACACTCATGTTTGGTCAGTAGAAAATCCGCACGCTGTCGGGCACATTTTCAACAAACATTTTCGGTGAATGTTTGGGCTGGCATGGTGAACGGTATGCTCATTGAACCATTTATTCTCCCAAATCGATTGGACGGGACTTTTTACGCAACATTTTGCCTTCCTTGTTAGAAGATGTGCCATTAAGTGTAAGACAATCAATGTGGTTTCTGCACGATGGTGCACCGCCCCATTTTAGACGCGAAGTGCGTGAGTTTTTGAATGAATTATTTCCGAATGTGTGGATCAGACGTAATGGACCCGTAGCGTGGCCTCCGCGATCTCCAGACTTAACACCATGTGATTTTTTTCTTTGGGGAGAAATGAAACGCTTAGTGTACAAAACTGAAGTGCATACGGTTGACGAACTTCGTCTCAGGATTGAGCAAGCTGGTGCTTTCATTCGGGGGAGGGACTCCATTCTCAAAGCCTGCACCGATGCTTGGCTACGTCGTGCACGCACCTGTGTTTTTGAATCAAACGGCGATAACTTCGAACAATACCTATAAAGTACGTTTACCTAAAAACTGAAAACGCGGCAACGCCGTCATATTTGTTACCTCTGTTCGTGGTCTGCACCACCGCCTGAGTCTGCTCGGTAGCGCATCAGATGCTTTCATTTTCTGCTGGAGCGGTATGATTTCGGGCAGAGACGTACTTAGCCCTTCTCGTCAACAGGAGAGTGAGTACTTTTTTCTTTATTTTTTTTTACTTGGCCGCCCTCGTTTCACTACACATTAGCTTTGTTATTTCAAGGGCAGTTGTTTCTGAAAAGGACAACCCCAATTTTGCGGACACCCTGTATAGCACCAAAAAGAGACAACAATGGTATTTGGATGGAGCACAGTGATACACATGAGTGTCAGAAGGCTGACGTTGATGTTATATAGTATGAAATTATAGATAACAGTAACATCTAAAACCTGTCCTGCCTTCAAATAAATAAATCTGTCCAATGTGTCTTTATTGGCCGCCAGATAAGAAGACAGTATAGAGGTGGTAGTGAAACTATAAGCTTGTATATTTAAATACTGATAATAATAAGAATCTTATTTTAATTGAATATGTTGAGCTTATCGCGACATAAATTCATAACGAAATATAGAATCAAAAATTGTGTTCGATTATACATTTCAATAGGACAGGAAGTCCATAAGAGAAAAG